AAAAAATCTACTTTTATTATTACAGCGTTAACAAATTCATATTAGCCTGCGCACATAGGCACCAGTAACAGTCTGATTTGAGGAAAGTTTTACTTTTTAAAAATGTAAGTCTTCCCACTTATAGATTGCATAATGCCACTATGTGAAATAAAGGTTTAAAAACTCTGAAAATGCCTTTAAAAATTGGCAAAAAGAAGAAACCTGCTTTACATATAATCAGAAAAGATATATTTTCTATTATTCCTATGGTAATGGCTGCTTCTATTCTTTTATTTGTTTTCATATTCTTTTCTCAGTTTCCCTGGCATGCAGGAGCCAGAAGAGCTGTGTGATCAGAGAGGAAATAAGGCAGGAAATAAAAGTACAGGGGTGTTATTTTGTTTAAATCTGTTTAATACCCACAGCGGAGGTGGTATTCAGCAGGTTCTGACCAGTTCTGGAGAACTGGTATTGAAATTTTTGAGTAGTTCGGGAAACCAGTAAATACCTCTGACTGGCCTGCCCCCATCTATTCTCTGCCTCCCGAATCCTAGTTGATTGGGAGGAAATGGGGATTTTGCAGTAACCTTCCCCTGGAGTGGGGTGGGAATGGAGATTTTACAGTATCCTTCCCCTGCCACGCCCACCAAACCATGCCACGTCCACAGAACTGGTAGTAATTTTCTTTGAATTCTACCACTGACCCACATGTATTACAACAAAAGAAATATGTCTATTTCAACCTTTGCTCTATTTAACATTTACGGTAGTTACTATCTGTATATCTTTGCAATCCAAAGCGAGTTTTCACATAATTTAATTTGAATGGAATGGGGAGTTCAGGATTTTTATTAAATAGGCAAAACTATTTTAATAGACAATGAGGGAGGAACTCATCAATCAACTGTGTCACACTCACAAAATTTTATTTGAAGAAAAAGGGTGTAGATGACACTAGATAACCCATGCCTCATTGTGTCATCAATTTAGAGATATTTTCTTAAGCAGAGAAACAGAATGACCAAAGATGGGCAAAAAAGCAGTTGTAGCAGAAGTGACTTCCGACTTCCTGCGAGCTTCCCCATTGAGTTTCCTTGTGGGGATTTGATAGAGAACATTGGAAATCTCCCCAGCAGGCAGTTAAGTGGCTGCTGCAGGGGAGAGGACGGAGTGAGGGATTGCCAGACTGGCTGGGAAACTGTCATGGGATGTTCTAAATGAAGATCTTGTGACCATATTAGTAGTAGTGCAGCAGCAGTCAGTAGCAATGAAGCAGCCATACCTTACACAGATTTTATTCCCTTAGGAATAATTGGTCCTGAATTTTAGACACATTCTGTAAGTTAGCCCATTTGAGATGTCTTGGTTCAAAAATTGTTGCTCTATGATGCACCCTTCCACTCAATTAAAGGTCATGATGAGATTTAATAGTATATATAGTTTTCCAGTTAAGTTCTGCCTGCTACATTATTATATTACCATTTTTGCTTCCATAAAGATAAATTGAGAAAAAAAGAATAGTTGCATAACGTTGCCTACTATAGTCATGTATCTGGGATTATTAAGATTACTGTGAGCTGTTTTTCTTGCTCCCCTCCCCCAAGTTTGAATTTGACATGGCATTAATATCTTATGCTTTGGTTCTTACAGGCCTTTCCTGATGTGGTGCTTGACCATAGAATGAAATGGCTTATATTGTCCCAAATTTCTATATGCATTTTTTGGCTAGATCTCAGCCCTGCCTAATATTGGCAGCTCCATCAGTCTTCTGGTATCAAAGAAATAATGGACACCATTTACAGCATTTGAGATATGCCACTGATACTTCTTTAGGAGAGGAGAATAAAGCCACCGTGGAAAATCTGTCCGAATTATCAGTGGATATAAAGAAAATCCGTAGGTTGAAGCCAAGAGTTCTATCAAAAGAGGTGTCATATGTCAAGGAAATAGCTAATATTTTGCAAACAATTGGCGCTGATGGACCTTCGGTAGCACATATGTTTGAATGCTGTCCTGAAGCCATTCTTTGTAGTCCTACCAACATCACTTGCCAAAGAGATCTGTGGTTATCTGTCTGTCAAAATGAAAAGCAGTTAGTGGAGTTAATAAAACGGTTTCCAGATGCTTTTTTTAATGTTGAACATTATGAAAATCAGAAGGCCAACATTAGTTTCTTCAAAGCACTGGGGCTGAAGAATGCTATCATCCGTCGGTTTTTAACAAGTGCATCAAATATTTTTTACAACCCTGTTGAAAAGAATAAGCATGTGATAGAAACTCTGCAAAGAAACTATTTAAGGCTAGGTGGTTCACAGGAAAATTGGAAAAACTGGCTATTGAAATTATTGAGTCAAAATCCATTTGTTTTATTAAATACTTCTACTACTGTCCAAGAAAACCTGGAGTTTCTTCAGAACAATCAATTCACCGATTCCGAAGTTTTAAGCCTGTTGTCCAAGCTCAAAGGATTTATTTTTCAACTTAATCCTAGCAATATGCAGAGTAGCCTCTTGTTTTCAAAGACCATCTTCAATTGCAGTGATCAAGAATTAAAAGAGCTAATATTACAGTGTCCTGCCCTTCTCTATTATTCAGCTCCAGTTTTGAAGGAAAGACTAGATGAACTATTGAAGGAGGGAATTTCTATAGAACAAATTAAAGAATCACCCACTGTGTTAGAATTATCAACAGAGATAATTCAGTATCGGATTAAAAAATTAGATGCCCTAGGATACAGTCTGAAGAATGGAACTATAAAATATCTCAGTGGAACGAAAAAAGATTTTGAAACTACCTATGGAAAGATACAAGCAAAAAGTGAGAGACCCATATATAATCCAGTGGCTCCTTTGAATATTGAAGATTAGTTTCCAGAACCTGCTTAATAAAAAGACAGGACTGATTTGTCTTTCATAATTCAAATAAATTGCACATAACTGTACTTAGAAATTGAATTTTTACACAGGCCTTTTCCCCCCTGAATCAGTGTTTTTAAACATGCAATTCTCTCATGGAATTCGTAGGATCAGACTGAAAGGCTGTTTGATCCAATATATAGTTCCTTCAGTAGTGTGTGAAAGCTACAGCTAGACACTAGTCCAATAAGCATCCACTGCTCATGTCTTCTAGGAATTAATATTAAAAGGCATTTTTCTGACATGGAAGTAATGCATAGCAATTATGCCTAGAAATTACTGATAGTCCTATATTCCACGGATTCAATTTCCCTTCAAAACAAATTTAAGACATGTGAGATAGGATCCTGTAGTTTCATGGTGCATGAAATACATTTACCAGGTATTTGCATCTAAAGGTCTTTCACTTAAGAGTTAGGAAAGAAATGTTTTCTGCATACCTTGTGTAAATGTAGGCTTTTTAAAAATCATATAGAGGTGATTTTATAAATCTCAACATTTTAGCTTTTCATAAAACCTATTTATTAAATTTCTATGCCATTCATTTCCCTTCCAAGGTGGCTCTGGGTGGCTCCAGTCCTTCAATAATTGCAATTGTCCTTTTTTTTTGCTCCATCTCTTTAAGAGGTGAGCACTAGAATAGGAAATCATACTCTAATATAGTTTGTATAAGAGTATTATAGGATTCTCAGCAGAATATATACATTATTTAGGAAAGGGAATGATGTTTTAAACTTAGGTCCTGACAGACAAAATGCACCCAGCATTGGTTTAAGTTATAATATCCATGCTTTGTGCAATATTTAAAATAAAATTTAAACATATTGAGAATATATTCAATATATTCAGTTTATTTAACAAATTAGGTTAATCCTGCATAATTGAGTGATATGTAATCCCTGCTAATTAGAAAAACCTACTTGACTATTACATGCCATCAAGCCAGTGTCAAATCTTAGTAACCACATACATTTTTCTTTCACTGATCTCGAGTATATGCACGATCAATTTTAGCAATATATTCTGGCATTTTAAATGATTTACAGTCATTAAGATGGTACATATGCATTCAGTGATTTCAGGATTGAAGACACAAGGAATAGAATGGCACATCTCACAATTACATAGAAGCCTGGCTTTAAATTTGCATGTAGCACGTTTATTTATGTTATTTTTCTTCCTATATATCAAGCATGACAAGTTAGTATTTAGAACTGCATGAAAATTCATGCATTCAAAAATAAACCCATGTATAGAAATGGGATGAGGTCCTGGAGTTTAATATTCTTTATTACATACGTTCTACTCGATTGTCCCCAAATAGTTTCTTCAGGTCATTGCTGAATGATATTAAATCAAGAATCAATACAAAAAAAGAGGATGATATTTATTATGTCATTCTGTCCATTAGTAAAAAGACACTATGGGATCAATGGGTGTGTCTGGAAAGCATCTCACAAAGTAGTTGGCATGGGAATGTTACAAGGCACCAGGGATGAAATGCTACCAATTCAGACCGGTTCGCCCGAACTGGTAGCAAAGATGCCAGCTGTTCACCCAAACTGGTAGTAAAAAAACTGCTACCGGTTTGGGAGAATGTTTTTCTGACAATTAGCTAGAAAGCAGGAAATCCAGCTTTCTAGCTAATATAAATCGTGCAGCACAGCTGATTCCCCCCCCCCCGCCTGTTCACTTACCTTGCTGTTCACTTACTCGCTTGCTCGGTAGCAGGCTCTGCCCACCTGCCTGGAGATCATTTTGATACTCTACGCATTCGCGGAAGGTGCAATGCATGCACTCACATTGCTACTGAATCAGTAGCAGAGGTAAATGGATTTCACCCCTGCAGGGCACCCATTTATCAGAAGGCACAATGAGATTTGCTTCAATGAAAAATACAGTTTTCCAAATAAGTTTGAAACGAACAGGAGGGATAAGGTATCTGATCGATACTAAGAGAGATGCCTGCTGGGGCATATTGTCATTGCCAGCTTACTGATACTAGATTTCTCTATTCCTTATTCTAACAGTGACGTGCGGTGAGGATTACGGTTGGTGAGGCAAGAGCGCGGCAGTGGCGAGAAGCAACGTCCCTGCCGCTGTGTCCGATAGGCATCTCGCGTTTATGTCCGCCATAAACATGAGATGCCTGTCAGCCACAGTGGCAGAGGCGGGGGGGGGGCGAAGCAGCAGAGCGCAGCAGCGGCGAGAAGCAACGTCCCCGCTGCTATGTCCGACAGGTGTCTCGCGTTTATGACAGATATAAACACGAGATGCCTGTCGGACACAGCGGCAGGGATGGAGGCGGCAGGAGGCAAGGCAGCAGCCGGCGAAGAAAGGGGAGAGGAGGAGGAGGAAAGAGAGAGGGGAGCAGGATGTGGCTCCTGGTGCGGGGGAGGAGAAAGGGAAGGGGAGCACAGCAGGCAAAAGAAAGCGCCAGCCCGCCAGCAGAGGTGGGTAAAAGACCCGCTTCTGCTGGCAGGCTGCCCCTCTATTCTCAAACAAGGCTGCTCCCCTCTTCTCAAACAAACTCTCTCAAATTGAGTTTGTTTGAGTGAAGTGAAGAAACAAACACACGGACACTTACTTACAATAAAAAATTACTGACAAATTACAATAATTTTGAATTCCTACCCCCTCCCTCCGACCCACATA